TTAGGCCTAAGTGGCATTTAGGAGCCCTTGTTGTAGGATTCAGATCCTTAATGTTCTATTTTAGGAGTTCTACAAAGCAGTGAGGACCGGACACTGGTCTTGGAGGATGCTTTTCCATCCAAGAGCCTTGGCTTTCCTCAGGAAGGTAGAATAGAAATTCACAGACTCCCAGGAGACCTTTCCTGTGACTGAATGGTTCAATACTAGTAGGTTCAAATGCCCTGAGGGCTCTCTTGGATGGCTTGATAGGACTATTTTCTTTCACATGCTCCAAAGTAACATTAGGAGTTAGTTTTTAGATCTATTTTTAAAGATTTTTTAGTAGTAAAATTTATGTTGTAAATTTTTATTTTTGCATCTCATGTACAGCTTTGTAATAGTCATAGAGAGGGCAGTTTTATTGGCTCACCTTTAAAATACTGTGAAATCAGTAAATTAAATAATATGAGTAGTCTTTTAAAACTAAGACTGTGAGTTGGGCCTGGTAGCTCACACATGTAATCCCAGTACTCCAGAGGCTGAAGCAGGAGGATTGTTGAGAGTTTGAGGTCAGCCTGGGATACATAGCAAAGACCTGTCTCAGAAAACCAAACCAAAACCTGTGTTAAATCTAAAACTGTAGCAAATGCCGAGGCAGCAGGTACAGATACTTATCCCCATGGCCTCTCTGTGGCAGACGTTGTACCAGCTAGTTAATGAGAAGGCCTTAAACAAATCAGAGTGCAGAAGACAAGTGGTGAGAGAAGGAAGTGGACTTTGGAAACACTAGGAGAGAGGATTTTCAAGGCTTGCTGATCAGTTGGATTTGGAAAGGCTGAGAAAGGAAGGAGGCAAAAACAGTTTCGGGAATCTGAAAGCTTTTTAAAAATTGTGAGTTTGAGTTTTGTAATGTTCACTGCTATGGGCAGAAAAATGACGGACTCCAAAAATTTAAAAAAAGTGCTGTATTAGCTGAGCTCAGCGGAGAGAACACTGTCCCAGAAAAGCAGCCCGGGAAGTGTGGCCTGAGCCAGGGGCTGCAGGGAGTTACACAGTAGCAAGCTGCAAGGGGAGGGGTCAGAGTCTTAGGATGAGTTTGTCCCCATAAAAGGAACCAGGGAAGGGAGGGGGGGATGGTTTACATGGTTGGGATATTACAAAGTTGCAACCTAACTGGCAATTACACAAGTTTTACAGGAAGAGAACAAGTTATAGTAAGTACAGTACATTTTGGATTTTTGAGCTTATGACATTCACTTGTATTTACTTTTGATTTAGGATTTGTGTGTTAGTGCTTCCTAAAATTAGGAAGAAGGCCCTTATAGGGGAGCCTACCCTTTTCTGCCAGCCCAGGAAACATCACAGAAGAAGTGGGCATGGGAGATTTTAAGAACCATTTACAAAAAAACCCCCAATCCAACCAAATCATTAGAGGTAAATTGTAAGGCTCTCCAAGTCCCCTACTTTCTTATTATATCCTCTCTGAAAATCACAGTGCCGTGACTGCTGGCAACCCAGCCATCTGAGGCTTGAAACTAATGCCTTAAAAATTCCTAGGCACTGATAAAAGTGTCTAGTTTATAGCCCAAAACGCTGAGAGAAACTGGCCCCTGCCCTCAGCCAGATTCCTTACACTGTCATGTGAACTCCACCCACCGACTGTGGCCCTGAACACCTCTAGGGGAACCTCTTCCTGCTCCACAGTCCTGCTGCAGCTGTGCTGTAAGTAAAGTTTCTCAAACAGGCTTTTCACCACCCACTTTGACATTTGGTGCTGCTTTCTTTGCCGTCTGAATCGACCATCTTGGAATGGTTTGGGGGACTCCTTTGAGGAATCTCCCTTGTAGCTGTTTTGGGATGACTTCAGCTGTGGTTTTGGCAGGACAGAGTTACAAAAGAGAGAAAGGTGGAGAAGGCCAGACCTAACTAAGACAGCTGCGGAGAGTGGCTGGGTGGCATTTGCTGGCTCTTATAACATATGTACCATCCGCAGGGGAAGGGAGGAAGACCAGCAGAGCCCATCAAGCTGGTGTAAAAGCAACATGGCATGGAATTTATTGTGTCTGGGTGCAGGCCCACAGCGGGATAAGACCGTCTGCAGTGAACAAAGAGAAGTGTGTCCTTTTTTATAGGGATGGAGAGAGGGCAGGGGTCATTAGGCAGGAAGATCTCAGTAAACACCTGTGGTTAAACTTCTCTGGCAGTGCTGCATTTCAGTGGGCAGAGTCTTGAAGTGTCCAGTGTAAACTCTTTGGTGTCTGCAGCTGTCCCTAGACGTCCCAGAACTTGCAGAATTTCTTGTCCTGTCTTACCTCCTTTCCGTGCTCGCCATGCCTGTGTTGGTACTGAGCTGAGTTCCTGACTGAGGGCTGAGTTCCCTGCGGAGAGTGTTGAGCGTTGCTGTGGCAGGCAGGCTGGGGCCTGGGAGAGTCAGGTCCCACGTGAGCCGTGCAGCTCCGAGGTGAGTTTCTGAGGTAGAGTGGAAGGAGGGTTGGAACAGGAGATGGCAGAGGAAGAAGGGTAGGGTCAGGTCCAGGTAGGACCCAGAAAACCCCAGGTGATGCCAGGAGAAGCTTCAGCTTGGTCAGACCTGTGGGTGCCCGCATGAGTGTGTTCTGGCCTCTAGGGTCAGGTGAATAAATGTGTGGAGTCAGGCCCAGAGTTTCAAGTAGAACTTGTTAAAACAAAATTTTAGTGAGATATGATCCATACCATAAAATTTACTCATGGTTTCTAATATATTTACATCTTCATGCAACTCTTGCTATGGTCAATTTTAGAGTATTTTCATGATTTCAGATAGAATTGGGTTGTCTATTATTGAGTCGTGAGAGTTCTTTATATATTCTAGGTGTAAACCTATTGTCTGATATATGATTTGCAGATATTTTCTCATTTTCTGGGTTGTCTTTTCACTGTTTGATGGTGTCCTTTGAAACACAAAAGTTTTAATTTTCTTGGAGTTCATTATTTTTTGTTACTTATGCTTTTGTCTTATGTCTAAAAATCCTTGGCTTAATTCAAGGCCATAAAATTCTACCACTGTTTTTCTCTATGACTTTTAAAGTTTTTGCTCTGATACTTAAGTCTTTGATCTATTTTAAGTTAAATTTTATATTTAGTAGAAGGTAACTTCATTCTTTCCTATGTGACTATTCACTTAAAAAATCTTGTCCATAGAGCTCTCCATGTGGCTGAGCACCATTTGCTGAAAAGGCTGTGCTTTTATTGTTTTCCGTCCTCCCCCCAACAATGATTTGTCCAGCTGTGTGTGGGGATGCACACTGTAATCCAAGTACATGGGAAGCAGAGGCAGGGGGATGACAAGTTTGGGGCTAGCCTGGGCAAACTGGTGGGACCTTATCTCAGAATAAATAATAGACAGGGCTGGGGATGTAGTACCTCTGGGTTCAATCCTTAGTACAGCAAACAAACATTCAAACCCAAAAAACAAAACAAGCCCTAACCAAGCTTTAAATTTAAAATGAATCTCACTAATGAATTATCTTTAAGACCTGAATGTAAGAAATCACTGATTTTTAAGTAGGAGGAAATGAGCAGCAAGAATAAACTTGGCTTATTTTTGAGTTTTCAATAAAATTATGCACATTAGGTTTTACTTTCTTTGAAAAATACATATTTCTGAGTTTAGAAGTAACAAATGTATTGTAATCTTGGAAAAGTGTAGAAAAGAAGAAAGTAAATAAACAGTTGTAATTCTACTATTGAGATAACTACCATTAACTTCATCTTGTACAGGCTCCAGTTCTTAAATAACTAAGCAAAAAAATAAAAAGGTACTTTTCAAAAATCATTAAACAGTCAAGTGTGATAGCACATGCCTGTGGTCCCAGCACTGTGGGAGGCTGAGGCTGGAGAATTCTGAGTCTGAACACAGTCTGGGCAACTTAGTGACCTAGTGAGACCCTGTAAGCAAAATAAAAAGTACAGAAGAGCTGGGAATGTAGCTCAGTGCAAAGGCCTTGGGTTCAACTCCTGTTCCAAAAGAAATCACAACTTCTCCAACAGCCTCGTCCTTTAATATTCTTCTATAACCTATTTATAATGGCTAGTATCGGTACACCGCAATTCATTTTTCTAATTATGGGCACTTAGGTTTCCATTTTTTTTTTTTTTGGTGGTAGTATGGATTGAACCAGGTTCCATGCATGCAAGGCAAGTGCTCAGTCACTGAGCCAAATCTTCAGTTCTTTTTATTCTGTCTCTGTCTCTGTCTCTCTGGCTCTGTCTCTTTGTCTCTCTGTTTCTCTCTCTCCTTTTTTTGTCTTTTTGAGACAGGGTATCAAAGCAAAGTTCAGGCTACAGTTGAACTCACTTTGTAGCCTAGGGTGGCCTGCAACTCCCTGCAATTCTTGTGGCTCAGCCTCCTGAATGCTGGGATTGCAGGTGTGTGCCACCATGCCTGGCTTTTATTCTTTATTTTGAGAAATGGTCTTGCTAAGTTTCCTAGACTCATGTCAAACTTCTGATCCTCCTGCTTCAGTCTCCCAAGTAACCAGAATTATAGATAGGTACCATGATTCCTGGTTACCTGTGTGAGTCCTATGACCTCTTGTCTCATTCTAGAGTAGTTTAAGTGTCCCAAGATGACTTGTGCATGAAGGTTTGAGCTTCTGGTAAACCTATCAAGGCTTTTCCCAGTGGGAAATTTCTCTGGGTGTCATTTCCATTTTCATCTATCTTCCTGCTGGCAACAGCACCATTGCAGACTCTTATGGCTCCTTTGCTCCCCTACATCTGTAAGTCTTCTCCAATTTCCTAAGCCTCTAGCTCCAGCCTGATTGCCTGGCTCTGCAGTTTAAGGCCTGAGAGCATCCAACTGCCTTAGGCGCACAGTCTCCCAATTCCCACTGGAGACTGATGCTCCTTGTGGCCTGTTCAGTTGTGGAAGAAAGCAAGGAGCAGAGATCACAGGCCAGGGACTGTGGGAGGCAATGGGAGGTTTATCCACACCAGTGTGGAGGTTCCAAGTCATCTTGTGCTGCCGTCTTGTTTTTCAGATTGATCGTATCCTGTGCTGAAGATGTTTCCAGAACAACAGAAAGAGGTATGTCATCACATATCTGAATATAAATAATCTGTGCATTTGGATTTACTGCAGGTTACTAAGTTGCTCAGTAACCATAAACTCCTGGTATTGTAGGAGAGAGCTAAAGGAAGAACAAAATACCCTCCTTTAGGCATGCTCCCCTTTCATAGGTGTGTCTGTGGCCTTTACTTTGTGGTCCCGGTGACTAGCTGGAGGGCACTGTGCCACCCACTCCTTGTCAGAAGCATCTTTTCCTGTGACTTATATTCCCCTAGGCTGTGCCTCCCACCCTTTGCCTGGAATCTTCTCCCTCTGGTCTGCCTCTTTTTCACTGACTCCTCGAGTTTTCCCACTCTTGGGTGACAACTGGGGAAAACTGCCATGAGCATCACGTTTGCCCTGCTTGCTGACTTTTGGGTCTCAGGGCATTTTTCCCATACAATCTGGGAAAAGCTGTGTTTTTCTGATTATAGTCTTCCTCCCCTAGCCTCCAAGTCTAGCTTCCTGGGCTTCCTTCTGGGGGCTGAGCTAGTACAGTTGTTTGTTGGTGTCCAGGACACATGGATTCTGGGAACCACCTGTGGATACCCAGATCTGCAGATGCTGAAGTCCTTCACGTAAAAAGGCATAGTAGTTGCATAAACCCTGCAGTGTGATGCCCAGATGCAATGTAAATGGCATGTAGATAGTTGTTTCGCTGTGTTGTCTAGGGAAGAAGGAGCAGAAAGATAAATCTGTATGTGTTTGGTACAGAGGTAGGGTGTTCTTGCTCCAGTATTGTCAGGGCATGCTTGGTTGCATCTGTGGATGTGGAATGTACAGCTGTGGAGGCTGGCTGTCCCTTCAGTCTCCATTTCCTCTGGAGGCCATCACAGGCACAGTGTGGTCCAGAGTAACCCATGATAGTCCTGTTAGACTCCCCAGCACCCAAAGGTTTAGGAAAATGAGGCTACTCAGGCAGGACTTTGCAGGTTTACAGACCTAGCAACCCAGGGCCAAGGGCGAAGTCTGGGTCTCCCTTTGAATCGGGCGAATTCTTCGCACACAGCTGAATGGGCCTGACACTCCGGGTGGGGGTCCTAGCCCCCTTCCCACCATTGCACTACTCCAAAGTCACATGTAAAAGTTTTCCTCCTGGCAAGCAGAGATGGGATGATTTTCCCTAAAAGTGACAAAGACCTTTTCTCAAATTATCAGAAGCTTTTAGCTGTCTCTGCAAGCCCAGCACTGGGAAGCTGAGGCAGGAGGATCACAAGTGTAAGCCCAGCCTGGGCAACTCAGCAATCTAGTGAGATCCCACCTCAAAATAAAAGATAAAAAAGGTCTAGGATGTGGTTTAGTGTGAAAGCCCTGGGTTTAATCCCCAGAACCCAGTACTGAGGAATAAAAAAAGCAGCTCTCTTTTAGTTGGTTGGTTTAATCATTTGATTTATTATAAATTCATTTTAATGGCAAAAAACTAGACATTCATTTTAACCATCTACATGAAGAAAGCATGTATTTACTTTGAAAATGTGCTTTCTTATACCTATTTATTGAATGATATTTTAGCATTGAAGAATTTTAAGCTTAAAAGTGCTTTATGGAAAAGGAAGAACTACTGCAAATCCAGGTGTAATGTTGAAAAATTTATGTCAGCCTTTGTCAGTAAGAAACACATTTAACATAAACAGTTCACCCTGGGTGGACTGTAATACATGACTGTTGATTCCCTCTCTGTTCATTCTCTACAGCCAGAATGATGATCTTTCTTCTAATACATTGCTGTCAGAACTGAATCACAACTGCTTCATTTGGCTTCTGGGGCCCTGCAGGGCTCAAACCTGATTCCTTCTCCAGACTTGCCTCTCGTTCCCTGGCACTACACCAGCGTGCTTCTTACCGCTATCTGAGCTCCCTTCTGTGGAACCTTGCATGCTCTGTGCACCCTTGTGGCCTGGACTTTACCCACTGCAATCACGTCTTCCCCCCCGCCTCTCACAGTGTGTCAGTGGGCTAATATCTCCTCCTGTAGGCCTCAGTGTAGGATCAAGAAGAGGCTTTCTACAGCCTTACTTAACTAAAGATACTTTTATGTTCTCGCTTATCCTCAAAACACTGTAGTTAATGCCAGTTAGGGTAGGGGAAGTCTTATTCAGTGGCCTCGTGGCTGGTTGTTGGCTAGTGGAAAATAAGTCTGATTTCACCTAACCATGCAAGTAAGGGTCAAATGCAACATCGCTGATTGTTTTAGAATATAGACCAAGGTGCAGTGTTGGTGTAAGCACTTTCCACGTGGATGTAGCAGACATTACTAACTAGTCATGAGGTCGGCATGTGAATTAAAACCTAGTTGCCATCTTTGTGCAAGATTCAAATGGCATAGAATGACATGTTGGTTCTATAGGACTGGTAGTGCTAGTCTAGAAGTTTGGCAATTTTTTTTTAAGATTTGGGAAATGCAGTGTTTCTTGTTAAAACAGCTTTATTACTATAATAAATCTTGCAAGAGGAGAAAAGGGGAAGAGAGTCTCCCTTGTTAGTTAAACATGTTCCATTTGCACATTGGTTTGAATTCCCAGGAGAGCAGTATCCGGGCTGATGGATCTTCTCCATAAAAAGCCCTTGGCATTGTGCCATTGTAAAATTAAAATGAATTCAGATTCATTCATGCATGCAACTTTAATTTACAATTAAAATATTATGGTTACATATTTAATAAGAATAATTAGATGGACCCAACTGAATCAACTTTTGTGTTTAATGAGACAGAACCCTGAATCCAAATGGAAAGGCAGGTGGCTGTGACAGGAAACACAATTCAGACATTGTCTTTTGTGGAGTCAGGCAGTTTTGCTCTTTTTCTATTTTAATGTCCAGAATGAGCAGTTTTATTTCTCTGCACCACTGAGGACCCTTGTTCCCAGCCTCACTGAACCTTGTCTTCTGTGGAGAATAAGCAGCTTGCACCTGCAGGACACGGGCTGTTCTTGGAGACTGACATCCGGGCGTTGACCCTCATAGGCACTGCTCCCTCCGGAATGGCCCAGGCTTGTTCTCTGGCTCTTGGCATAACTGGAGCCTCCTGCCCTGGGTGAACTGAAGTGTATTTGTTTGTGTCTGTATTTGTGGGAGTTGAGCCTCTCCTGCTCTTTTGGACCATGGTGGCCACATTCTTCCTTTAGAGATTTGTACTTCTGGGAATAATATCTTTTTCCCCCTTCTAAATGTGCACACTCTACTGGAGATAACAGCAACTCCCAGGCAACTACCGGTTATTGGTAGCTGAGTGACAGCTAAGCCTCCATTCTCTTGGCTGAGAATTCCCATAAAGCAGGCCCACGTGGGCCCAGGGCTGTTGCCTGCACTGCTAGGACTGACCCTGCCACTGAGGGAGAAGACAGGGCACTGCAGGCAGACAGGAGGGGCGTGTTGCCATTCTGATGAGTAGACTCCAGGGCTAATGGTAACATGTTCAAGACACACTATGCTGACTGATGGTCACATTTCTGACTTGTTTTAGGAAAGCATGGAGCTTTTTGTTTTTGCCATGTCAGGAATCAAATCCAGGTGTTACACAAATGCTTTACCACTGAGCTACATTGGAATACTGATTGAAATGACCAGGCTGAAAGCAGAGAACGTCCCTGAAAAATAAATAAAGAGTATTGCCTGGTGCCCTGTGACACTGGGAACTGTGAAGGGAAACAACAAAACAAGGCAAAACACTGTTTCACAGGGCTAAGGACGTAGTTCAAGGCAGAGCACTTGCTAAGCATGAGTGATGCCCTTTGGTCCTCAGCGGGCACTTGCGCATGTACACACACACACACAACACACACACACAGCCAAAACAGAATCTCAGTCTCTCACTCTCTAAAGCCTAAATTTGTTCTTTTTCTTCTTTCTTTTTTTTCCCCCTCCTTCCTTCTCTGGTTCTCAGCTTCTGATGTTATAGTGTTTCTAAGTTTTCCCATTAAAGAAAACAAAATGAAACATGATTTCCGTGAAAGGGAATTTACATTCTTCTGTAAGAAAAAAAAAAGCAGCTGGGAATACCCCAGAGTACAGCAGGATTCAGAGAATGCTGCTGTCATTCTGATTGCAGCGTTTTCGTTACAGTTACCCATGTAACTGTTCTTTGCTGAGCCAGCCTCAAAGAAAAAGTCCACCCCCTCAGTCCCATGTCCTCAGCCCACTCTTTTTCCTTCCTCTAGATTTTAAAAGATTTGTTCATTGCAGAACATTTTTGGAGCAGTATTAACGAGAGAATAAAATGTGGACTTTCCCCCTAGTCTTTTTCTATATGTATATGAATGTCATTTTTAGAAAATTGAGATCATAGAATTTATAGTTTAGTATCTGACTCTTCCAGCTTAGTGTTCTGATACATTTCAAGACACATTTGCAAACTGTGATTAAGTTAGAAGTAGCTTAAGAGAAGAAAAATTAGTGAACATAAATTTATCTCTGTATTTGTCTAGAAATGAAAAAGGAGTAACTTTATTGTAGAGAAACTTTATTGCAGTGATTGGACTTAACATCAATGGTAGAAAGTTGTTGGGGAAAGCAAGGCCCCTCTCTGGAATGTGATAAAATAGCACCTTCCAAACATGTAGAACCACAGTCTAATCCAGAGACCTCCTCACGGGGCGTTACTACAGGATTGTCCAAGTGATCAAAAAAAGTGAAGTCTGAGGAAGCACCATGCCAAGAGGAACCCAAGGAGACATCATGACCATAATGTGGTAATGAATGGGAGGAACACAGTTTTAGAATAGTATGTTGCTTATTCTGGTATTTTACGAGGTAGCCAGGAAGGTAATTTTTTCCCTCCAAAATAATGTAACTATAGTAAAACTGAGCATGGAGTTGTAGTTACTGTTGCTAACAGATCCCCTGGCGAGCACATATTCGCAAGTACAGGCTTTGAACAACATAAACCAGAGTCTGAAAACCAGATCCAAAAGCTTTACTGGTCAGCTGAGAGTGAGCCAATTGCTTAAGTTTTAGAAGCCTCCTTTTTCTTATCTGTAAAATTGAGATGAAAAGGTTATCTTGTGTTTAGGATTGTTGTAAAGAGTGAAGGAAAAGATGTGGAATGGTGCGGTGCCAGGCACATGCCAGTGTCCTACACAGGTGCAGTGCTTTGTAAATGGATTTCACCTCCTATCAGAGAAAAAGGGGAAGAAAAGCTAGAAATAGCTAAAAGGTGGGCCTGGATTGGGGCTCATGGAGAAAAGAGGGTCCACTGAAACCAGAGAGTGGGTAGCTACAGGAAACCCAAAAATGAGATTTTCCCAGAGGCAAGAATTCTCCCTTCCTTATAAAACCTGCTTTCACAGGGAGAACTGGAAAGATCAGCTAGTTTAAATTTTTAATTCCACTCTGCCTGGTGTTTTCTCTCATAGTAGATGTAGTCATTAGGCCCAAGAAGTCATTAAAGTGTTTAATAAGGTTATTAAATTGACTAACTGCTACTGCGGAAGCCATTTCCATAGAAAATCCATAGGATTCTAGGTGTGGAACTCTGGGGCTGTCCCTCTGTGGCTGACAGGCTGTCAACACTGCCTTGAAGGATGGTGGGTAGGTCATGAGGGATGCGTCTAATTAAGAGATTATAGGTGAACCCCGGCTGCCTGGGTAAGCTGTCCGTAGCTGGAAGTGTGGTGCAACTCCACTAATTCCTGCTAATTGCAGGGGAGAGGAGGAGAGGCCCATCTGAATTATAGAATATTTTAAAATAAATGTACTTTTATTGCATTCAAGTACATATTTTAGCTCCAACTAGGCTAACAAATCGTTGCCTGATCCACGACTTTGGGGACTAAGTTATTGAAGCTATCAGAATGGTTTTCAATTATTTCTATGTAAATAGGCACTTCTGGAGTTCTTTAGGGTGCTCAGAAACAGTTTGCTCTCACAGATCTTAAGCACTGCTCTGGCAGCCTTCTGCGTTAATTGGCACACCTTTAGTGGAAGAGGTTGGTTAAATTAAGATAAACATTAGACCAGTTGCAAAATAACTTATCATTAATACATGGAGTCCAGCAATCCACATGGATGTGGTTTTTATTTTAGCTGAAGTTTAATTTTTTTCTTCCCTGAAAGCAATTTGTTTATTCCACAGGGATTCTTTGTTCATTAGCTTATATTAATGGGTGTGTTGGACGCATCAGGCACTTGGGTCTCAGGGGACAGCCTGTGCCGCCCTGTGGGAGCCAGAGAGTAGAAGATGAGGCTGAGAGATGGTGATCTTAGTACAGGACAGTGAGTGTGCTGAGTAGGGACTGGGCCCAGTCAGTGGGCTTCAGGGGCTCAGAGGAGAGGCAAATAAACCAGACCAGGTGAGCCAGAGGAGGATTTCCCAAAGCAGCACGAACTGAGTTGCATTTAACAGTCAGTTGCAGTTTGCAAAACATAATAAAAGAGAAGGAGCGAAAAAGAAGAAAAAGAAGAGGAAGAGAAAGGAGGAGCAGAGAAAGGAAGGAGGAGAAGAAAGGAACAGGTTGGGGACAGCACTGCAGGCAGACAGGAGAGTGGGTTCAAAGGCATGGGGTATAAAATAGCACATTGTGCGTGGGGTGTAAGACCCCCCCCCCTTTCTCAGCTAACAGTGAAAGGCACGAAAGACTGTGTTGTGCTAACCAAGGAGTTCCAACTTAATCTGGAAGATTACTGGGCAGCTTTTGGTGGGTTTTATACAGGGATGTATAAACGATGTGTTTTGAAGTCATTCTTGCCTCAGTGTAGGGAATTCACTGGATATGAGCCCAGAGCCCTTACATCAGTGTGGGCAGCAGATGCTTGAGTGAGGGCAGTAGCAGAGGGAATTTGTAGGTGATTCCCAAGAAGATAAATCTGAAGAGCTTGGTCAGATATAGAAATTGAAGTTCATAGTTTTTAGGAGGTGGATGAGCCAGAAGTTACATCTAGTCTCATGACCTTAAGTCATTACTTTTTCCATGAAAAAGGACGTGCTCTTGAGTTCATACGCTAAGCGTGGGACAGTAAGCCCAGCATGGTGGGACCTGCCTGTAATCCCCGCACGCGGGAGGATCACTGAGAGTTTCAGGCCAGCCTCAGCTAGAGTGAGTTTAAGGCCAGCCTGAACTACGTAGTGGGACCCTGTGTGAAAAACAGAGGAACAGTGGTGGATAAGTAGGGGAAAAGCCCTCCCACAGAACTGTTTGCCATTACTACCTTCATGGATTATGATACTAATGTGTGTTGTGTACTCAGAGTATGTAGCATTGTAGTAACTGGATTTTATAGGTTTTGTTCCAGATCTCCCTCTTTTTGAAATAATAAATGTGTAGCTAAATGACAAATGTGTTTCGCTGTCTTTTCATTTTTGTTTAGTCTGTATGAAGGTCACTGGTTCAGTACTAAGAGCATGTCTTCTTTCTGCTGCTGCTGTTAGACTCTGAGCTGCTGGAAATAGTTAATCTCCTTCTCTGGAACATCCAAGCTCTTCTGCCTCTTCCGTGGGAAAGTGGTGCTGCCATCACTCTCTGAGTGGCTTCCATGTGAGCTGGTGACAGTGCTGTGCCCCCGTCTGGATTAGGAACAGTCCTGGCACTCACACTGTTAGGGCCCCATGAAAATGGTTAATTCCTTTTAAAATTAGAAGAATTAATTTTTATTTCAAAGAATGGCTTTAATGTGTCCTATTAATATATTTGCCTTTACACCAGTAGTTATAAAGTATAATTTTATTATTTTTTGTGGGGAAAGGATCCTATGAAGGCAAAAATAGTATCTAATGCCCATGAAGCACACAGATTGTGTGTAGGGTTGGGGGAGGGAGGGGCGGACGTGTGGTTTATTACAGATTTGTTCTCTTCTGAACCTATTTTTAACTTTCTGTTCATTGATTTATTGATAATTAATTCCTTTTAAGAGCTGTGTTATGTGAAAAGTATTACAGGAAAATGAGTTACATACACACACACACAGGAGACAGGTAAAAAGCATTAACTAAGAGCAGAGCCTGTGAGTTCTGCTTCTATTTACTTCCCTAGGTGGGATCTACTGTGTCCCCTACCCAATCACACTAACTTTCATTGGAGAATATCATGGGTATCTTGAGTTAAAAAATTGTTTTTATAGTCACTCTTACAATTTAGAATTATGTTTCAGCAAGCATGTCAAAATGTTTAGAGCATTGCTGTATTGTTACCTAATTGTTATTCTCTTTCTCTCTCTTTGAGAAATCATTTTATTAATTTGTGGTGCTGCCATGGAACCCAGGGCCTGGTGCATGCAAGGCAAATGCTCTAGTACTGAGCTGCACCCTCTGAACCCTATCTGAACCTCTCAGCCTTGAGAAATCATGTTAAAAAATACACAATGAAAGATTTAAAAATAAGCCTTTTGGGACATTAACTCATAATGCTTATGTACCTAGGGCAAGCAATGGGACCGAAGTCCCAAAGGCAAGAACAAAGCGTGCGGTTGCCTTAGATGTGAACATTGGCAGTTACTTTCAAGGAATGAAGACTGCTTTTTTGCTTAAAAAAAAATCTTTTCTGCTGAAAATTTTTATTTTATTGTCTGCATAACAAAGTGGAGGTGCTCATTCGAAAGATCTCTATGGTCTTTCTTGCTGTTCTATTTTGGAGTGAAAGATACTGTAAGAAAATGAGCTTAAGACACTATTATCGCAGATTGAGGTGGAAAGCACAAGCTCAGAGCAGGTGCCTGGGATGAACTCAGGCTGCCTCTCACTGTGCTAAAACAAAGTGGTAAAAGATGGCTGCATTTTAGCCTAATGCTCTAGTCTTAACAAAAAGCTAAAATATTTAAAATTAAATTCAGTTAGCAGTTTGATTTCTGAGGGAACAAGTTACACATTAAAATTTATCATTCCAGGTATCATATCTTTAGCTGTAATGTGCTTACATATTTTTAAACTGAGCCTGTTTAGTAAAGAGCACTTTTTTTTTTTTTGTCTTTTTCCTTTTCGTCGGTACTAGGGATCGAACTCATGACTGCCTGCTTGCAAGGCAGGCGCTTATGCCACTGAGCTAAATCCCCAGCCCCATAAAGAGCACTTTTTGAAAAGTATTTTCCGTGTTACCTCATATTTCTAATTTTCTGTTGCCTCATATTTCGAAAGGAACAAAAAGTATCCACTGTGTATTTTTTTGACCATTTCTAACCTTTACCTGAAACAGAGATATGACGATGAAATGATACAATATATGAGAAATATTTTTAAAATAGAAAAGTATGGTATGAAAAAAGGTGTCCATCTTTCTGTTGAGAAGTTCCTACCGCATATGCTCACGAGGCTGGGCTGTGTACACACAGGCAGTGTCACCTCTCGTGGCTTGCTTTTCACTCGTGGCTTTTGAACTCCCTTTTCTGTCTTACAGAAAGAAATTTGCCAGTCAGGGCCTGTAGTTTTAATTTAGAGATGATGAAAGTGAGAAATGACTGCATTTAAAATTTGAGAAAAATGTGAACTTATTTTTCATAATTCAAAATGAGACATCAGTTATAGAGCACATTATCCATAAGCACGTCCAGCTCAGTTTTGCATTATTTTAAAATTCCGTTTGTGGCCAAAAGTGTTTTCTGGATTTGCTCGTGGTGCCTGATTCATTAACTTCTTGTTTTTTAAAGGATTGCAACCACGCTATCTGAAGCTCATTGTAGTTTTGCTCTTGGACAGTCACTTCCCCCTGCTCTTGAAGCCTGACTTGCAATTCTGAAACAGTTTTCTTTCTGTACCATGCCCTTACAGGAATTTGTAAGTGTTTGGGTCCGAGATCCTAGGATTCAGAAGGAAGACTTCTGGCATTCTTATATCGACTATGAGATATGTATTCATGTAAGTATGCAGTTGGTAGTCAATCAGTAGTCAGTGGAAATTATGGGACCTTTTAGTAGCAGATATTTTATTGGATGCTATGGTATACTTAAAAGTGAAACGTTTCCCGAGTCAAAGAATTTAATTTGAATGATTCCTGTACTAATGCTTTATCTTAAATGAAACAGTAAGATGGTTCCTGGAGTTGAAAAATACTTATTTGAAACTCCTATACTTTAAAAAATATTAATATTTTAATGTTTATTGTCTTCATCTGTGAAAATGTGAATACATGTAAAATTCATGCTTAAAGAGTATTTATAACTCACTAATGCTGTTTCTTTATAATTTGTTATAACATTCCTGGATTATATAGTACCTGATAAATCTAAAGTTTGAGAGAATATAGAATTTCTCAGGAGGAAGGATATATAAAATGTTTATATGTAGAATCAGAAAATAGGAAATTATGTGCAATTAGTTTGCGTTAGTCTAGATTTTGAGTAACAATATGAGGAGTAAGCAATTGGGAATGATACACCGTATTCTGAAAATACTGTCGTAGTCTCATGAATAATTTGTTGTGGTGTGTGGCCTTCTGTGATCATCTTGAACAAGGGTCAGCAGACTTTTCCTGTACAGGACGAGGCAATAAATACCGTTAGCTTTGGGGCCCACACATCTGTGTTGTGGTGCTCAGTTCTGTTGTAAGCCGGGAGCAGCCATAGACAATACATGAAAGAATGAGCAGATCGAGCCTCATAAAGCTATTTACAAAGGCAAATGGCAGGCTGGACACAGCCCATGAGCTATAGTATATTGGCCCTTGATCTTAAAGGTAGTCACTTTTCCCATCTTGTTTAATCTAAATTTTTCTTGGGAGCATCAAAACTGGCTCAGAATTTGTCTGAAACTACATAGCACAGTAAAATGTAACCATCCTTCAGTCTCCTGCTGTAAATTCCTACATTGGCATATGGGTCAGCCAAACCCAGTCATAAAATCTTTTAAGTGTCCTCAGTTTAGAAAATAAACCAATTAAAAACTCAGAATTTTATTTTATTTTATTTTTTGATGATGATTGTGTTATAGGCCATTGCTAGGAGTGGCTGTCTGCCTCTGGTGCCATTCACTGGGGTTCCCCAGGCCATTGGTAGGATATGCTGTATATTTTTATTTTGTTTTGGTTTTACCCATAAACTTACATCAGGGCTATGTTCTGTGTAGAATATTATGAACACATAAGAATAAACATGAAATAAAATGAAACTATAGTTGCCTTTTGACTGCTCATAAAAAATTATGAACCTGTATCATCCACTATATGGGAGGCTTGAAATGTAATTATTCTTAAGAAATAATGAGAGTATAGATTCTTCTTTGCTAATAAATAACACAGCATGAATTCAGAAATCTCTATCTGGAGCCAGAGACAGTAGGGCTACATGAATATTATTTGGTGGTGTTCTGGCATTTCTCTGCAAAGCTGATAAGTTGACAATGAATAAATCTTGGCTTGGATATCAGAAACAAACAGCTTTAGAGGAACTTAATCAGTGAGTGTCTCAGCATCCACCTGTTGTAACATTAGAAGAGCGTTGGTGGGCCTAGAGAGTTCTAGATTGCCTCTGTTAGATGCTGTGCCTGGGCAGGTTTGCAGGCAGAGAAGCTGGTGATTAACTCATTTAAATTAACCTCAAGGGAAATAATAGCACCCAACTCAGAGATCTTGATATTTACTTGGGATTTTAAATTAGTAGAGGATGGAGCTGTGTAGATCATCATCTGTATTATCCTGAGCCTGTCCTTGTCCTAGTGAAGGAAGAACTCAGATCTGAACCTTATCTTGGTGAAATCAAGTGGATCTTTCTCTGCAGACACCGACAATGATTGTGAGCAAGCAGAGAAATCAAGGGAGTTTAAATTGATTGACCCATTTGGGAGGTGTCAGGAGTCCCTGAAGTAGCCTGATGCGCTCTGGGGAGAGAATACCAAGAGGACACCTGCCCAGGCCTTGGTTAGGGCACTAATGGTTGTGTAACTCAGCCTGCTGGATTGTCCCCACAGAGCGCATTAGAAGGTGGCCTGAAATCCACACCGCGTTACTGTGCCATAGACTCCTAGCAGCATGTTTTGTTACCGTATCATCAAAGGGGAATTTAGATCACTGGCTGCTTTGGAGGTGGGTTTCTTAACCTGTATGCATCCTGAGGTTTCTGAACTTTAGAAATATGAGGAACTGTGCCATAGATTTCATGGGAACAGTTTAAGAACTAATGTACATAAGCACTGGATTTCCCAGCAAAAACAAAGACTGAGCTTACTACCTGGGAGAATAATATTTTAAATAGAACAAATCTTAGCAGCAGATGTTTTGTTTTTCATTTGGCAATGTAAAGATTATGCAGTAGAATTTCATAAAAAACAAAGATCATCTTATTTTTTGAAATCAGAAGACATAAATATTTGTTAGTTTCTGATTTTGTGCAAAGAGTATTTACCCATCTTCTGTTTGACCAAAGGAAAAGCATTATGATTTACCTTAGAAGTGCCTTTTTCCAAATCTTGCACAGAATAGCTACGGGGAATCCAACATAAATAACTAATAATATTAATAAATAAAATTTACCAAGTGCTTGCCGTTGATCTTGCAACCTTCTGACATACATGCTCACAGGTTCATCCCTGTTTTATGTTCTTGTCTTGTCTGGGAGAGGAGGAAGTGCTGCTCTTCCGCTGAGCAGTGATGTCAGGGCTCCTTGTGACCAGCATGACCTGTAGGACAATCATGTGGAGGAGAAGAGGTCCAAGATGTAGTGGAGAGCCAGGGGAAGCCGTCTCTAGTTGCAAGGACTCTTCCATCAATATGAGATCATATTATGTGTTATAGATGGAAGGAAAGCCTTTTCCCTCAGATGAGGCTTATATTTTCTTGTTTTGTACAGACCAATAGCATGTGTTTCACAATGAAAACGTCCTGTGTACGAAGACGATACAGAGAATTTGTGTGGCTGAGACAGAGACTCCAGAGTAACGCACTGCTGGTGTAAGTGACACTCCTCAGAGTGTTCTGAGGAAATTATTACAACCATCAAGTTAAAAATTGATATGCATTAAAAATCAATACAATAGGAAGAGTTTTATAGGCTGTCTTCTTGATTGCAAGGTATTGCTTCAGTTAGTTTTGTGGCTACTGCATCTGATTTTAAAGTTTATCACTTGAATTTCACCAACTTTTAGGGACATTGACCTGTAAACAGCCTGGAAATCTAAACAGGGTTTTTCTTTGAGACTTACGTAATAATTATATAACAACTGTGTAGTAATTATTATGAATAAATTGCCTACACTTAGGGACTTTTGATTTTTTAATTTTAAAAACAAAGAATAAAAATGATACAGAACTTCAAAACAAAATAATAGGAAGTTAACACTGGTTAATATGTAGTGTGTAATTATCTTCAAAGTAGTTGTTCAAATTACAAGTTATAAGCATGAAAAAAACGATCAAACAGTTGAACAATGAAAGCACAGACTGCTCTTTTTGATGAACTAATAGAGATTAGTAGTATAGTTATTATCTATCATGTAAGGACTTCTTTTAATTACCTTGATTTAGTAATGAAAAAAAATTTTTTTTTCTTACTCAAGGCAACTGCCAGAACTTCCATCTAAAAACCTGTTTTTCAACATGAACAATCGCCAGCACGTTGATCAGCGTCGTCAGGGATTGGAAGATTTCCTCAGAAAGTGAGTGAACAGAAATTCTGTGGCCAGACCTGAAATGTGAGCACAGGGAACTGAAAGCTGAGGATGCTGTAGAGGGGGATTTTACTGCTCTTAGACACCTGATTGATACTCAGCCAAGCTCACAAATCCATTTCCTGTGGTAGAGTGCCATCTTGTGGCTCAGATCATATGGTACATATTTGGGACTGATTTTCTAGAAAAAAAAAAACAATGAATAATTAAGTCAGGGGTGGAGTATAAGGTCTCTTAGGATATAAAGCAGATACAGATTCTTTGGGAGTTCAGCTGACAAAAGTAAAATTTACCAGAAAATAAATGTGCCTTGTTAGACAAAGGCCCTTCTTAAAAACTGTCCTCATTTATAGCATTTAGGATTGACAGGCTGAAATTGTCTTTACAACAGGCTGCTTATAATACCCTTCTAGGCCCCTCCAAGTGGAGGGCTTAATTCTTCCCTTCGGAGAGAATGTGTGAGAAGGAGTATCAGTGGTGTCTGAATAGTCTCAGTGGCTGGATTACTCAGTGATGGAAGGTACTTCCATTCGAGCTGCTTGAATACACACTGTGAGGATTTCCCTTTGTCTCACTCTTGGGAAGCTTGTCAAACACTGGCTTGCACAGTGACTCTGAGGCTTGGCTCCTTAGGTTCAAATCCTGGCAGTGCCACTTACTGGCTGGGAACTTGAGCGAGTCTTTTCCTCTTCTGTGCCTGTGTTTTCCCATCTATAACATGAGGTAATAGTAGAACCTGCCTCATAGGTAGTTGAGAGGATTAAAAGGGCTAATAAATATGAAGCACTCACAATAGTATAATGTGTCTGGCACAAAGTATCTAAAGTTGGCTGTTAATTTATTTTTGCGGTGCTAGGGATCAGACCCATGGCCTCACACGTTAGGCAAACACTCGACCATTGAGCTACACTCTTGGTCCTACACCATCATTATCTGAATGCACTTAGACATGAAATAGCTTTGAGTTTATTTTTCTAACTTTTCATAGATAAGAAAAGAGGTTGAGCCGTATGACTATTAGTTAGTAGCAGGAGTCAGACTCCTGACCGTTCATTTTCTAGTGACTTTAAGATCTGAAATCATCTTCTTTCAAGTTCACTAAATAGGACCCTAGAGCAAGCTTGAAATAATATACTACCTTCTCCCCATATGGCTCACTCATAAAGGGTCTGGGTATTAAGTATGCCCATGAATATTAATATTTATTTCTGTTACATTGACATACTGCCTTTCCTTTGAAGGGGTCACCAAGACATACAAAAAAAGCCTGGCTTATAAATTGAGGGAAGGGAGGGAAAGGAAGAGAAGCCAGAGGAATAAATCTGAGAGGAGAACTGAAAACTGATTAGTGGAGTCAAGTCCTTTGAAAACATTACAGTAGGGTTCTTTTGGATGTTGTAAGCATGACAGAACAAAGAGCTGGTCAAGTTTTCTCTGCCCTTTCCCTTTAGAGACAGCTCTGATGTTAATTGTTGTTTCTGTGGAGCTCAGGTGGCGGTTGGCTTCTCCCTTAGGATGTGGCTCTGCAGTCCAAGTTTGTAGAGCAGGGCTCGATCCAGATGCTGCCCCAGGGAAGCTTAGACCTTCCCACCTCCAGAGAGGCCTGGGCATGGGTGGGGAATCCCGCGATCGCAGCCAGCACTGGGGAGCTGCTCATCTTTGTACAGAATTCTCTTTATTTGAGGTTAAAGGACAGCATGTGAATGCATTTATATTTATATTAATTAAGAACAAGGTATGTGTTTTTAACCAGGAATCCTTTCATTGTTTCGAATACTGTCTTCCCATCCACAGTTGATCTACCAAAAGTAATGGCCCCTTGGGCACAGTGGGATTATGCACGTACAGCTTATATTTGGCTCATTGTGTTGTTTGGCTGTTTGCAGCTGTATCTGATGCTGATGTCATAGTAGAAAGCACCCTAGTTCAGTAGCACGAGGAGCTGGGGAGCTGGGTTCTAGATCTCTCATAAATCTTGGCTCCTGATGTTTTTCTTGTTATGCAGTCTTGGAAAAGTCATTTAATTCTTTTGAATACCTTAACTGCTTTGTGTTTCTGTGGAGTGGAATAATACATCCCAAATGGTGCTGACCTCAGTGTGTGGTGGTTGTTCAGATACTCCCAATGCACTCTAAAGACCCTGTAGTGATTCTTCATTCAACAGAAACTTCTCAAGTGATGACTGAGGCCAGGCTGTGTACCAGAGGTAGAGAACTACGAAGAATGGGCTCAGTCCCTCTCCCCTTGAACTTCCATCCTAACGGGGAACTGTTGTGTACCTATCAGAGTTATGGCTAGATTCATTACAGTTGGATCTGGATTATGGCCTAGAAATCAAATCAAGGAATAGACACAAAGCTAATATGTGATGTTATTCCCCAATAGTATGAGAACATTTTTCTGTGAATTAATTTCATGTTAAAAATGAAAGCTGGTGCTTCTTCATGATTTGAACCTCAAGGATGCAAGGAATCGAATACCACTTGGTTGGCTTCAGACCTCACCTAAGCCCCGAGGGCCCTCCTTTCTGTGTGCCCCCCAGTCCAGGGCACAGCACCCCTGTTCTTTATCCAGTTTTAATATAATAGCAGCCTTCCATGTTTTTGGCCCTAGGGTCCCATCCCTCTTTCCCTCCTGAGCTGATTTAGGAAAACCAGATGTGATGTGCACTCCAGCACTGTCCCTGACTGCAGCTTGATATGCCTTGAGGTGCCATTGGTCACTCATCAATAGCTTATATTTTATAGAGGACCTCTAGGAATCACAGCATTAGAATGTGGGATATATTTGGGTTGCAGACTTTGAGCATATATTTCTAAAATCTAGTTTTTATCTAAAGTTTTGAAGTTGTGACCTAGAAGCCCTATGTATATGTTCAGACTCCATGAAATCAAAATGTCTCTTCGCATATGTATGTATTTGTATATAATGTGATATGTATTTTTTTCATTTTTTTTTGTCTTTTTCCTTTTTATCGGTACCAGGGATCGAACTCATGACTGCCCTGCTTGCTTGCCAGGCTTATGCCACTGAGCTAAACCCCCAGCCCCTATTTTTTTCATTTTAAGGTCATTGTGAAGCAATACATATTAATAGCAAAGTACATATTCAAGATGATCTTTGGAAGTTAGAAAAGTTATCTCTTTGGCTACATGCAAAATAAGAATACCATTTATTGAACACTTGCTACCTGTTTGTTGTTTTACGTGTTATATCTTAGTATTTAACAGTCTTAGGAGTTAGGTGTTATCTTAGTTTTATATATAAGGAAATTATGGGAAAGTTGGAGGTACTGTGTTAATTCCAGGAACTGGCAAGTTTATAATTAGAAGAATTCTGGCAAAATTTAGTCAGTATGATCAGCAGATTCTTCAAATACATTCATTTTTTCCTCAATTTTGACTGTAACCTTCCTTTTGTATTCCTTTCTCTAATTATAAATTGAAAGTCACTAATAACAGTTGTGGAACAAGAGTTATAGACCAAGAATTTAAATTCTGCTAGCTTAGTTTTCAGCTATGAATAATGTACTTCTTACTAATGTTTTTATCTTTTTTTCCTACTGATTTTTTAGGTTTAGTTGATATCTGGCTTTCATTCTTTATGGAATGCACCCTGTTAATATAACTTATATTCACACTACAACTTAGATTTTTTGTATTTCTTACAGTTTTCTTTTAAGGAAAGAATTACTATGGAAGCTATTACCATAGCTAATTTTATACTCACGCGCGCACGCACAAACACACACACACACATACACGTGCAACTTTTTAAAAAATAAGTGCTATGTTCAATAGAGGGCACCACAGCACAGATCATGAATATCTTCAGTGAAGATTTGTAGGTTTTTACATTAGATTTTTCCCCTTTTTAAGAGGTAAAGGGGCTGTTATTTTTTTCTACATCAAACTGTTACCTTTCCTCTCTATGCAGATGTGTATAGTTACCGTTATATTTGGTTCAGGAGACCCAGGACATCCTTAGTCAGATTAAATGATTTTGTGTAGCCACATACTGTTCTTTACAGTGAGCCACTGTATAATATACCTAATAATATCACACTGAAGAAAATTTGATTTTCACCTGTGTCCAGTTAAGGAAAAAAGCAGATTTTGCTTTCTTCAAAGTTACAGAAAAAGAAGTGATTTGTCTCATGCTGTAAATATCTTTTCAGAAATTCCTTTAAAATTCTAAAGGCTGTTTTGGTTCCTTTTATAAATGACTTGAAAATCATATACATTTATTTTTACAGAGGCTTCTAACAATGACATTTTATTGACTGTTTTACAAAGTACTCTTTATATTAAGTTTGAAGTTGATTTTCTGCTATTAGATTTGCTTGTGGAAAAGGTGGCACAAACATGGCTGTGTAAAAGTAGGATTTGACATGATGGTAGCTGTCACAACACTCTGAAAGATGGTGAACCAGTTACGAGTCAAAATCGAATTACTTGCATGAACCAGAATGGAAAAGACTCCAAATTTTGCATTTTAAATTTTACTGTGAAATACTTGATTAAAAAATAAAAAAGAAAAATAGGTTTAAAATGCTTAAAGCTCATACTCATGAAGCTTGTGGCATAGTATAACCAGCAGAACAGAAAAGAATTTTAAAAACCCAAACCATGCCTGGCAGATACACTGTTTTTAACCCTGGGCCTGTGTGTGTATGCAGACGTTCCCTTCCCAGCCTCATCCTCCTCTCCTACTGTTCCAGCCGGCTCCCTCTTTCTCACCTGCGTGTCCTCCAGGTGGCAGTATTAAACAGAAAAGAAAATGGAAATAATGAGTCTAATGTACAGTAAAATTGGAAATTGAATTATAGCTCAAGAAAAAGGACAGTAGCCTTGAGGTCCCGATCAACCTAGACTCTGATCACTTTTGTTTTCTGTACCCATGTGTTAGGTTACTAGCACGTTAATAACAGTGCGTGAACAGTTCAAGGCTCCGTAGAATTGCTTTAGACAAGAAATAAAGCTAAAATGAATTTGTGTCCAATATCATTGGCATTAGTGCTCATTATTTTTGTGGTATAATGCCTCAAACCATCTAAAATCAATTTTAAAGATTATCCATTATTTCATAAAGAAAATAAAACACATTTCCAACAGAAACAAAGCAGTGAGTTTAATCCTGTGAGCAGTTACTTGTCCTATGGCTGGCAGAAAACTACCGACAGGAGGCCACAGGAAATGCTCTCCTGAAACTCAGCGGCTGGCCAAGTTCGTATTAATAGGCTGTTGCTATGAAACTCTTTCTTTAATTTGAATTATTTAAAACAAGAATGGTAAACATTTGTAAGTGCAGAAAATAAATCTTAAAGAATAATAAAATAGATTTACTACTTGGTGACTTGTACTTGATAAATTAATCTTTATCATGTGACATGGTCATCTGCTGGAAGAACCCAGGGCAGAGAGCAAGTATTGAGTTGGCTTTGCTTGAGAGTTTCTCTTTTAGGAGGCATGAGCTTTCCTTTTTCCTTTTAATAGACCAGTAAACAGTATTTTCTTAAACTACCTTATAAGCCTGTGGAAACAAGGAGGCTGGCTGGATTTTAGTCTTGAGATATGCATTTGTAGACATTTGTCTTTCTGAGGAAATAATTGTTTTATTTGTTTGTTTTAGGATAACAGTTGTTATCCTAATGACTTTAGAGATTTTTGTCTTTTTGAGACAGGGTTTTACTATCCAGTTGAGGCTGGCCTTGAGCTTACTTTGTAGCCCAGGATGGTTTTGAACTTGCAGTGATCTTCCTGCCTCAGCCTCCCAAGTGCTGGTATTACAGGCATGTACCACTATGCCCAGGTTTACTAAATTTATAAGTAGCCAGAAATGATGTATTTTTCCAATTACTTGTTTAAAGATACAAAATATAAGTTAAAATTTTCTCTGAAATATGGTATCTATTTTTCATATTCTCTATATGAAAAATCCCATATTAGGCAAAATTATACTTGGGCTTTAGTGTTCTAGTTTCATCTTCTACATTTGGTTTTAGTCTTCTGTTGTATCATTACTGAACTGTTAATTGATGTGAATTATTACATGTCAACGATCTTTGCTAAAAAGATAAAACCAGTTAGTGTTGGGGTAACTGACTTGCTTTCCTAATCTGAGAAATAGATTTCAGAAAGAACATTCGCTGGTTATATGAATTTGAACATATAGTAGATTTTTGCTGCAGGGTATTTTTAATCCTCCATGTAGGTCTGATGGATCAGTTAAAATTTATACTATCCTTTAATGAACTTCAATCTTTCATACGAGATGACCAGTATACACTGATCACAAAATTATTATATTTTAGTTATATATGATAAAATTGGCTGTGGTCGTTTTTATTTGGGTGCTGAATTTGAAAAGAGACATGCATTCCATTGAAGACTGGAGAAATTTCTAGTCAACCTTAGATTTAAAAAAAGCCACTTCTCAAATGAGCCCCCAGTAGACAAATATACACAAGCATACTTGTAAAATTTGTAAACATAAAATATGCTGAAAAATTTATTGACTTCTTCATATCATTTTTAGTAGTGGTTAAAAGTTTTGATGTTTCATGACAACCTGTCCAATAAAGATCACTGAATTGACATGCTGTTGGCAGTAAATTTTTTTGAGTAGAATAAATTTCTATGACTGTATAAGCAAAATATTCCAATAATTAATCCACATGGTCATAACAGATGGTTAAATTGAAGAAATGTCCTTGAAGTTATTCTTTTAACAGATGTTCTGAACTATTAGCTTCATGTTTTTACTCACCTAAATTTCTAAATAATTGAATAAAAGTTAACATATGCTTCATCCCTTTAACGGGCAGGGTCCATAATTGATGCAAAGTTTAGGACAGTAAAAAATTACTTCAGCGGCACATTTTTAAGGTTTACCCATTATCTGCCATCCCTGCTCACCGATTGTTTTTCCTGTCTTTCCTGCACACAGAGTCCTACAGAACGCACTTTTGCTTTCAGATAGCAGCCTTCACCTCTTCCTGCAGAGCCATCTGAACTCGGAGGACATCGAGGCGTGTGTTTCTGGGCAGACCAAATACTCAGTAGAAGAAGCCATTCAAAAGTTTGCCTTAATGAACAGACGTTTCCCCGAAGAAGACGAAGAAGGAAAGAAAGAAAATGATGTAGATTATGATTCAGAAAGGTATTTCCTCGCATTTTGATTTAATGTGTTCCTATTTATATAACACATCATGCACATATGCATGTGTACAGATATATACACATACTTTGCTTTTTTGTTGATGTAATACTAAGATAATGAAAAAATTAATTGACTGAGATTTTATTGAGCTGTGACAGCTCATCATAGTAGTCTTCACACACACCTCCACACTGAATTAATGAATGCAGTAGAAATTCAATTATCTGCATTCTGATTATGTGACTTTCATTTAGTCAGACTTGAATTATTCGTGTTTAAATTATCTAGCTAAAAAAATATCCAACTGCACTCCAAATGGCTAATTAAAAGTCCAAATTTCCTGTCTCTCTTTGTGACTGGAGATAATTAAAGTTCTCCTCTGTTACTCAGGCTTTGAGTGTGTTGTGAAAACCAATTTCCTCTTTTTATTATTTTCCCCTCTCTTCTTTTCCAGTTCATCCTCTGGGCTTGGACACAGTAGTGATGACTGCAGTTCACATGGAAGTAAAATAAGTACAGCTCCGCAGGAATCTTGAAAAATAATTCTAATGGTACTATATTAGGAATAGCAAATTGTGTTAAGTCATAGAGAAGAAAGCCTGCTAATAATATATTCTTACCTAAAGCTCACGGTCATGATACTATGTATTTAAATTGTTAAACACGGTGGCTTCATTATTAGTGGTACGTATTTTTATGCTGTCTAATTTTAGTCAAGCTTCTGTATAAAGCTAAAAGCCTGTGAACGCCATACTTTCCTTTATTGCCAAATATTATTGGTAAACAAGATCCTGCCTTCCAGCGAAATGATTTCTATGTGTAAAAACCCCACGCTGGCTTTACTGAATTTTAAAAGATAGTATATAGGTAGTATTTAAAATTGAGCCAGAGCATTCCTTCTGTATCAAGAGGGCAGTTACTGTAAACGCGGCATGTGTGATGTTAGCCACTGTGAGGATAGCAGTGTGGAGCAGACTGCCTCAGACCTGTGGCAGGTATGTGGTAGATACCTTCCCTGCACTGGCCAAACACTTTGCTTTTGAATGTTCAACTGAAATATTTAAGAGTAATTAATCTTTGCAGTATTCTGTTTCACACTTTGGTGGAAAATATATCTTATGAATAGAGATGTATTAAGATAATGTTTACATCTTAGAAAAAACAGAAATAGTGTTAGTCATTTTACTTATGTTTGCAAATGTACATTCAGAAATACATTTTCATTGTCTAAAATCAGCTTAAACAAATGGTTTCTGGAAATAAATCATTTGTTTTCATTACTACTGTGTCATTAGAATTATAGGTTAATGATTTATTTTCTGACCAAATATGTAATTTCTTATCACTACATAGCCTTCATTATCAGTGATGGCTTCTTACTACTTAAGTCAGAAGGATCTTATAAAAATTACTGAATTTAATTTTACCAATAAGTATTCCCATCATTTGGAAAAGGATGTCAACTTGCCAGTTTCAGAGTTCATTATTCATTTTTAAAAAGGTTTTTCGTTTTAGGCACCTACCTGAAAGTTGATATTTTAATAAAATGTCTGTATGTGCATGTGTGGCCCAAAGAGAAAATGTTTCAGATAAACTACTTTGAACTTTAAATTTCAGATGTGCCAGCATTTTCTTGAGATAATGATCCAAGTTTCTTCCTGATTGAATAGTACAAAATCTTCACATAGCTGGGATAACTTGTTGCTTTAATGTTACCCCGCCTGTAGATGGGAACCAAGGCTGCTACAAAAGGCAGCTTTTTTATTTTAACTATGAGTTTAAAAGTTGTATTATTAAAAAGTATTCAAAGTGTTTATTTTAAAAAACAACAAAAATGCCCCAGAAAACTAAGATCCAGCAAAAAATTAGATTTAGAATAATTTCGTTATCTAAAACATTATTAAACTATTGTAAAATGTTGATTTAATGTACCTTATATTCTATTATTTTATCATCTAAGACTTAACTGTTTTAATACAGAGAAAAAAGCCAAGTAGGAGTTATTTTGCTAATGTATGAAGTTTGCATCAGAGCAGTCTCCTGCTCTTTACCAACACGGATTTGAATTCATACTATTTCTATTTCACAGCACTTTGAAAAGCATATATTGTTCCACCAGTTGTCATGTTATTTTTAAATGATGTAACACCAGCCATCAAGTAATGCCTCGTATTTGGGATGTAAACTTAATGTGCTCATTGGTTTCACAATAAATAAGTAAAAAATCGACTTTGTTGATCACTTATTTAACTTAAAATATTTCTTTTGACTTAGATGTAAATTCAGTGTGCTTTTAAATTATTGGTAATTTTTTTATGAAGAACTTTGGAAAAACTTTAATATTCACTTCAATTTTACCTTGGTTTGGCTGTTCTGATAGCCATGCACTGGTTTTTAAAAACTGATTTCTTGCAGCTAATATATTTAGATGAACTTTAGCTCTCAGTGGTTGCTTTGTCTCTTATTTTTCTCTAGCATATTTTTTAAAGCTTCCTTTTGGAAAAGAAAATCATTATATAACTAAACTGCAGAGAAGAGATTTTTAATACTATTTTTAATGTGACTTAATTTATGGAATTTCAATCATGGATGCTCTATGATTTATATACATTGAAATTGTATTACTCTGACTATTTCTGAAAGGGCAGACTTCACCTATAAAACCAGCTTACATGTTTTGTTTTAGAACTGGCTTTATACATAACCCAAGGGATCTACAATGAAAGCCAATAACCTGTTACTTAAGGCTTGTTTTAAAGTCTCACTTGGAAGAAAGTGATTTAATTCTGGTTAAAACTTCATGTTTTAAAAATTATGCAGGAAAGCTCTACAAATGTTTATACCTTTAAGCAGTTATTGTTCCCTTTAGATTCTAAATATCTTGCCAGAGCCTTTGAAGCCTAGTTCAAATTTTACTGAATCATTCTATACAACAAGTGGTACGCATAGAAAAGTAAAAGAATAAAAATTCTTTTGACTCACAAGAATTTAAGCAAATCCATTCACCTTGCCACAATTAACATTATATTCAACAACTGGATATTGTTTTGAATCCAATTTATATTTTTTGGTACCTTAAGGATTTGTCATTATCGAGCTACTGTGGTACAAATAAGGTTTTCAGTATTTGAGTTGTGAAGAAAGACCCTTTTCCATGAAAGGCCTCTAAAATTTGAAGACAAAAATAACAAAAGCTTACTCTTTCCAAAGTCTCCCTCTTAATATTTAAATTAGTTTGGTATCTGATGAATACAATGTAGCATCTTTTCCACAGAGGAAACAATTTATTTCAAAGCAATTTTGTTTTTGACTTGGAATACAAATCTCACTTTAAAATATAAATACATTTTCAAATACAAAGTGCTGTCTGAAATTAGTTATTGCAAATTGACATTCAAAGCATAGATTAATTTTCTTCATAAATACAGGTCATAAGAATTTAACACATTTTTAAGAGTGGAGTTCAAAAAATTTAAAAGGATGTAGACAAACAATTTCTTTAAAATTTGGTACATTACAAAAGGACTCTGACTGTTCTTTGCCAGATGCATCTTACAAACGAGTCACCATTGTCCCTTTAAGTCAGACACAATTGCTCTTCACTCTTGCTGGAAACTTTTCTAGATCCTTGTTATGAACAGTGCATTGGACACTCATTTATTTTAGCTGCGCGACTCTGGTAGTTAATGACCTTTTCTCTTTCTCCAAAATTCCAGAGACTTTTCAAAAGATAAAGAGGAAAAGACAAAAAAAAAAAAAAATTACTACCATTTTCTGCTAAATTTAAACTCTGGTCAAAGACACGATGCAAATAGTTTATGCTAAAGAGGAAAATACCCTTTTTTCCCCCGACGAGAAGTGTAGATTCATCCAAAACCCCAGACCGCTTGTCTTTGCGCTAGAGGCACAGCACGGGTATAACTTGTGGTTGTGTTTTTGCTAGTTTCTTACCTCTGGGCCTTCTTTATAGCTTTGCCCCCCACCCCGCCGGCGGTGGCGCTCCCGCCGCTGCACCCTCGGCCGCCTGTTGGCTGCGGCGCCCTGCGGCTCGCGCACGCGCTCCCGCGCCGCGTCCCGCACACGCGCGCTCCCGCCGCCTCCCGCCGCGGGCGGCGACTGAGTGGCAGGTAGCGAGCCGGCCGGCCTCCGTCCGGTAACCCATGGCAACCGCCCTGGTAACCCATAGCAACTGCGCTCCAAAAGGGGGAGAGGGGGGGAAAAAAGCCCGGAGGAGGGGGCGGCGGGCGGTGAGTGGGAACAACAACCACAAAAAGACAGCGATTTACAGCCCAGACCCGCGGCTCCCGGCCCCACCTGCTCCACCCGTGGGCGCTGCGAGGCCCCTTGCAGCGTTAAAATGACAACTGGGGCTGCCGTGGGGAAACAGTAATCGTAGAAATAAAATAATACTGCAGAAGGGCCCTGGGGCTGGCTGTGGGGAGGAAGCCGGCGCGGAACGCCGATGTCCCCGGGTTTCCACGCCGCCTGAGGCCCTCGGCCTCGCGAGCGCGCGCGGGTCCCAGGCCGGGTCGGGCGCCCGCGGCCCGGGCCTTTGTTCTGCCGAAGCGCGCGGCTTCGCCGGGGACCAGGTGCGGCTGAGGCCTGCGTGTCCGCAGGCCCGGCCCAGTGTCCCCAGGAGCCCCGCCATTGCCTGACGCTCCCTGACCGGAGAGGCAGGGACGGCCGCGGCGGGGCGGGTGGGGACCGCCGGGGAGGAGGCACGAGCCTGGGTCCAGAAACGGCCGAGGCGAGGGTATGGTGCGGGGTGGGCGTGCGCCGGCTGCGGCCTGCACGCCCGGGCTGAGACTCTGCGGAGCTGTGGAGAGACGAGCTCCTGCCCGCCGGGCGCCAGGCCGCCGGTCGACGGAGGGGGGCGCTGCCGGGCCGAGCGCGCCGCGCCGTGGGGCTGACCGGTGCCTGCGGCTGGAGACTTGGTCTTCGTGGGAAGGCCCTGCTGCCCGCGAGGATTTCAGGCTGCTCAGTGCATCATCTGCTCGCTCGCGGATTCGAGGATCCTGCAGTCCAGTCTGTCTAACATGAGTTAGGAATCACAGCAGAAACTGGTTCCTTTAGGTACAGATGCCTGCAGTCCCGAAGTCCCCGAAGAAATCTAGTGGACTGTGTTTGGAACCCAGAAGAGTTTCAACTAGCTTTGACTCCAAAGGCATCTTGATTTTTTTTTTTAAAGGCTTGATCAAGAGATATCTTCTGATACCTTGGTTATTTTACCCTGTGTGGATGGGTGTGTACCAGTCACAAATTCAAATCACAGGCCCAGGATCATTCTTTTAAAAAACGAGACCTATATAGACATACTGTAATGCACGCACACACACACACACACAAAATATCCTTTTCACGTGATTAGCTCAACAGTGGTTTATATAGCTAATTTTTTTTTTTTTTTTTACCACCAGACAAGGGTAGCTGCCTATGTAAAGAGTTCTATTTTAATTCTTTCATAAAGACAAATATCTCAATGTGTATTTCTGCTGCCATGGATCTCAGGAAAACTTGGTTTATTTTCACAAATATACACCTTCTACATTCTTCCACTGCATATACAGCATCAGGTACAGGGGAGTTTGTAAATGGTAGGGGTAAAGCACAGGTACTTGCCTAGTCTCAGATTCATTCAGTATAGTCCTAGCTCTCTGTACAGTAGTGTACTGGGAGTATGTGCTTTCATTTAAATTTTTTTTTTTAACAAAAGCAATTACAGAAAAGTGCAAATTTAACGTGTGACATTTAACATTTTGCCGTGGCAGCCAGCCTCCACTTAAATGGGGCCTTTCTGCGGAACAACAGGAGCCAAAAGGCCTTGTGTCATGGAGTAATGTAAGACACAATCTGAGCTGCAAACGCACAATGAATCGGGAAGGATTTATGTAATTAATTGACCAGTCTTAACCTGTTATCGTGATGTAAGGAATTTGGAACTCATTAATTTGGGCTCTGACAGATTTCATATTAGAGCTGGCAAATATGGATTGAGCCTCTTATTCTTGTAGCAGCTGGAATTTCCATGACAGCGAGGATTAGTGAAGAAGACCTATTGCTAGAGTCAAACTGCCTCTTTGTAATCAGTAGCCCTGCTCTGCATTAAAGGAATAATAATTTTTAAAAAAAGGAAGAAAAAAAGGAAACAACATATTACTTGGCACAGGAAATGGAAGGAGCTCTGTTCATCCTACTGTTAAGTGTGTCTAGTGCAAGCTTTTGCAGTTGAATGAAAGTATTAATTTTAATCATAAAGTTAGGGGATTTCTCAAGCACTCAAGGGAAGAGAAGGCAGGGTCTCAGGTTGCTTTCCTATTGTTAAAGTTCCAAAGGAATTAAAAGATGGAGGCTTTGGATTTCTTCTGTGTGCACAGAGACTGTAGGAAAGACATGGAAGTCTTACGAATGACTAACCATACATGAGCCTGCAGGCAAGACTGGCTTTCTCGGAGCCACTTCCTGCGCCTTGGTCAGAGATCCTTAGCCTCATGAAACCCAGAATGTACACAATGGGCATTTAGCTGATAATCTAATCTGTGTCTCCTTCACACTGTGTAATGTTGAATGAATCTCCCATTTGTAGATGTCAGGTTTCTTCTTTGAGACTTTAAGAAAATTCAGTAAAAACTGACTTTCATTTTTTTCCCTCTTGACAATTAGAAAATTACTGGATTAAAAAAAAGTTCCCAGAGATAAAATGAAATATTTTTTTTCTTTGTTTACAATAGGTCTCCCTTATTGCTGTGCCATGTGATAAGGTTAATAGCAACTGCCATAAAGATCATTAATACAGGAAGATAAGCACAGTTGCATGTTTAAAGCATTTGCAGAGTATCATTTGCCTCCTTCTGCTGATAAAGAAGACTTTGGTGACAAATACAGAGCACAGGCACTAAATGTTTAACTTTAGACGCAATTGCCTTTTTCTAAATATGTTATTATGCCTAAATACTCTTCAAAGTTGGATGCTGAGTGTTCTTGAAATATGTTTTTAATTTGCTTATTACCTTTAAGATTTTTCCATATCAAACATAATTTTTCCATGTCAAACATAATTTACATTTTAACATAGCAAATTGTTATAAATCTGTATAAAAACAATAAGATTTCCTTACCTGCTTATGTTGTTGTCTTGATCCCAAATTCCAGTGTAAAGAATTTTCTTTTTAGTCAGTGATAATGGGATTTGATCTATCAGTGAAGGACTTGATACAGAGATTTGTTTGCGA